AACCCACGGCACTACCCCAGGTAGTTCTTTTCTAGAAGGGAAGAATACTCCCGAGTTCATGGGCGGTTTTCTACTTGCAAAAGCCCAAGACACTGAGATACTGTCACACCGTACCTCTTCCTGCCTTTTCTAAGGCTACACCAGCCCAGCACTCTCTGCCTTTGCTGAAGCAAGAAGAATTGCATCAAGTCAGCCCGTAAGTAGGTCCTGTGTTTGTATGTGTTACTGGGTCATCTCAACTCCTACAGTTAAGCCCCTGCTATGGCTCTAGGAATGGGCAGGACAAGCTGGGGCAGGCGAAAAGGATGAGGAATAGACCGTCAGCCAGCTGGATTTCCAACGGCACTGTGAAATAAGCCCATTTCAATTTTTGTAGAATATCCACGCGTGAAGGAGCTTTGAGAGAAGGGACATAACCATCGTGTCGGCACCGCAGCGAGAGCCTGAAGGCACGCACATGGCACCTGCCCCATTGAATTCTTACCACATTTCTTCTCGGGATCCATTTAGCTCCCTCAGCTTCAGGCTGGAAGCACTACCTTCCTCATTTAATAACGTCACTTCATTTTTTAGAATAGCATTTTCTTCTCTGAGCTTCTCGGCTTCACATCTGTGGCAGAGACACGAGACACGTGAAAACTCTTTCTGTATACCACCTAGGCCCACAGGGAGAAAAATTGCTAAAAGCCTAAGCTGCCTGTAATATTTCAAAACAAAGCTACAATTGACTTTAGATATGAACGGTATCTGGATTTTACATTTCCTTTAGTAAGAGTGCTTCCCAGATCACTGAAAAAGGAGCTTTTTGTGCATGTTTTTGTGCAGCTGAAGTGAGTTAAAATCTAAGGTACCTAGTGAAAGTTGCACACTAACATTGTAGTATACTTTTCAGTCCTTAAGTTACAAATAACATAACTTTAAACAGCTTAACACCACAATATGCAGATTGCTAGGAGAGTGAGCCGTTTCCCCAGCTGTTTCTAGAGTCCGGAATGCTGGGAACAGCAGCGTTGGAAAGTGCCTTTTCTGTCCTGAGGCGACTGTAAAGAAATAACTTAGCCATGGTGTAATACCTAAAAGAACAACTTCCTGCAAGAAGCAGGTGCTGAACAATAATTAAGCCACTTGCAGCCACTTTATGGCCTCCAAAAAAAATCCTTGCTGAAATACAGCAATTAAAAACAAGTAGGTAAGACTTATTATAGTCTCTGTGTTATAATGGTATTTACCATATCACACCCCTGATGGATTCCTAACACTAAGTCCTCCTGCTGGGAAAAAAGTTACCATAATTCTCTAGTATTAACTAGAATATTTGAGAGAAAGAGAAGCATTTTTAGCATTCCAAGTAACATTCAGTACTAGAAGGGAGCAAACCGAGTGAAAGAAGTGATATTAGTAAAAGCTAAAAGCATTCTGGAAGTGTTACCATAGTATTTTGGACATAAAAATACAGGGGTTTCTGATGTACCGTGAACTACACACTGCGAAGGTGACTACATCCACAGACAGACCGGCTGGCAGGTTGCTCCCGTTTTACCATGGGTGTTAGGTCACGGTCAGAGAGGAGTAAGTCACACGCATTCATTTCAACCGTCGTTATCCGTGATTAATCAGCCTGCTTGCTAGTAGTTAGAGTCCAAGGCACTGCTTTCTAACCAAAAGTTAAACTACAGTGGTTAATGCAGCCACCGTACGGCAGGCAGGCGGCTACGAAGCGATGAGCGGGACGCTAGGTTAGTTTCTAAGCGGCACGTTTGATTACCGTGGGGCCGGCACGTCTCCCACCAGGTTTTGCAAGCGTACGTTACCTCAGAAGATCAACTTTTTGCTGCAGCTCTGCGCACGTGCTTTGTAAGCCGCGCGTCGCTGTATTCCTCTCCCCTCTCTCTTCGTGGAAACGCGGGTCGTTTGGGTTAACCAGAGCAGCGGCTTTCTCCCTCAGCTTTCTGTTGGGCTCTTGCAGCTCCCTCTTTTCTGCCGACATTTCTTTCACCATGCCGTCGCTTTGGGCATGCTCGTCTTGCTGACCTGTAACCGCGGCGGCACGTTCTTCCAGCTTCCCAAGCTGGCATCGCAGTCTTAACTTGTCACTGGGTGCATCTGCGTTTCCTTGTGCATCTCGTTCTCGGACATCTTCCAATTCTTTAACTTTTTGGAGGAGCTGTGTGTTTTCCTCTCTGAGCTTAATACTCTCCAGTTCACTTTCTTCTAATTTGCAATGAAGGCTTCTCAGCTGATGCAGGTTGTCTTCTAGCGCTTTGTTTTTTTCAACTAACTCTATCATTTCAGATTTCAGATCCTCATTTTCTGCCTGAATTTCTTCTTGCACTGACAGAAGTTTACCCTGTGCCATTGATCTGTCTTCTAACTCTTTGACCCTTTTCCAAAGCTGAGCTATGACGCTTTTCAGGTCACCATTTGTTGACCCAGGAGCATGATCAAGCTGGAGAGAGGCTTCGCTCAGTTCTTCAGCCTTCTCAAGCTCAGCCTGCAGCTTCAGAGCATCAGAAACAAACCCTTTATTTTTGGGAGCTATTCGGTTGTTTAGCAGATGAACTTTCTGCTGTTTAACGTCATTGTGTAGCATTTTTGGTCCGGGAACTCTCTCGAGAGTTTTCTCGAGATCTTTCTTTTTTTGCAGCAGAGGCACCCGAGAGAGCAGCTCTTGATTCTTGGCACAATCCCGACTGCCATCAGCTTCCAGTGCTGCTTTCCTGCCTTGCATCCGACACACCTGCGCCTGGAGCGCATGGCCGCCTGCTCGGGCTTTAACACATGCTTCCTCCAAACCGGAATCACTCTCAGTCATTTCTTCCAGGTCTGTAGTATCAGCCTCCAAAAGCGGAAGGGCATTCGAATCTGTTCCCTTGTCTGCATCTTGACAATCGCTGGGCAACCCTTCAAAAATGGAATCTATTTCATCCGGCAGCTGAGATCGTTCTGAGCCGGAGTCGGAGCAGCCAGGACCGGGAGGTCGCGCGGGCTCCCGCTCCGCAGCTTGCAACCTGTGCTGCAGCCTGACTATCTCAGCAGCCATCCTGACATTTTCCTTCACAGCTTGCTCGTGCACTTTCTGCAGATTTAAGAGGACATCTGCATCGTCTCCCAGAGGTGCCACACCAGCGAAAGAAGCAATTTTGCTCTTTGCTTTTGCATACTCTTTTTCCAGGACCCTATAATGACTTTGTAGTGCAGAAAAACTATGTGCCTCCCACTGCAATTTCTGTATTTTCCCTTGAAGGTTTGTGATTTCCAAACTCATCTCGGCCTTTTCTGTTTCTGCTTTTACACAAATGTCTTTGTTCAAACTTTCCAAAGCAAGAAGTTTGGAATTGAGTTGCTCTTTCTCTTGCTTATATTCACTGTCAAGCCTCTCCAGCTTTTGCCTAACCAGCTTCCCATTTTCCTCCACCATGGATATATGCTCTTCTCTGTTCTTCAGCTCTTTCTCGTGGTCATTTTGGAGTTGTGTTATTTTATCATTCAGCTTTTTCTCTTGCTTCTCAGCGGCGTTCCTCAGGTCTCGCAGCTCCTTCTGAAGCTGCTCTCTCTCGCACACAAGCTTGTTCACTTCTTCTTTGAAGTTCTTCTCCAGGAGATCTTTCTCCTGGGTCAGGGCAGAAGAAACAGCCTTTTCATTTGCCAGACTTTCCTTCAGTTGCTCACGCGCTTCGGCAACCTCCTGAGCAATTTCATCCTTTTCAAACTCCCACTGCGATTTCTCCTCTCTCTGCTGTTCGGCAAGTTCATGCAACTCTCGCTGGTACCGCCCTTCCAGATTGTGGATCATTTCTTCGTATTTATTCACAAGTGTTTGTGTTTCGACCGAAAACTGACTTTCTGCATGAGATGCTCTTCTGTTATAGTCACTTTCCATTTTTTTCCTAAATATGGTTAACATAAGATATTACTAAACTCTGGGCTACCTCAGAAAGAGATTCAAATGGCTTTTTAGGCTGAATAAAACAAGCTGAAAAATTACTTTTTCACTGAGTTTTAGATGAAGTACTATTTGCCGGGTGTTTCTGAGAGCCAAAGTTAAATTTTGAGGCAATTTGTTGAAACTTCAAAAATAAAAATCTAATGGCCTTGGAAAAGTGTAGCTCATAGGTGTCCTCAGAAAAGGTTTCAGGTACAATATATGCCCTTGTATACTTGTGATCAGATTTATGGGGGCAGGTGTTCTTACCCCCATCTCTCCCTGTCACCCCAGGATGGTTTCAGTTTCTTTTGACACTTGATCTTGGTTAAATGCATTTACCAACCATCCCTCTACTTCTTCAGAGAAGAACAACTCCAAAACCCCAAACGCTTTAAAAGTACAGAGCAGGGATTTGTAAAGCACAGGGATCCTGAACAGAGCTTAAATTAAATTAATCACGCCTGGTTATGCTTTAACACTATTGTTGCCTCTGGGTGAGCTAAAAAAAAAAAAAAAAAAAATCAATATAAAACATCTGCTTGAGAAAGGCCGGAATTAAAAAAAAATGCTGGCTAGCAGCCCCATGTTCTGGAATAAAACAGGTAACAGCACCGTACAATCAGTACGCTGGAATTAAGCATCAGGAGTCATTTCTGCACCGGGTTCACCTTGGTCACCACGCCAAGCCATCAAGGTCAGCGTAGACCACTACCGTCCCCACCGGCGGTGGCACTCACCTTTCCTCCTCCAGGTCCTGCTCGTGCTTCCTCAGCAGCTCTTGCTGGAGCTCTTCCTTCTCCAGGGCATGCGCCTCTGCCATCCTTTTTAGCTGCTCATGAAAGCCACATTCCAGCTCTCCCTTCTCTTCCTGCAGCGTCCGCACTAAAACTCTCATCTTTTCTTCCACCCAGACACCATTTTGAATCAGTTCTTCCCGTTCTTGACTAAACTTCTTGTTTACCTGCTCCAGTCTGGCTCTAACGTCTTCTTCGTGCTCCTGCCTCAAAAGCTCTTGCAAATTGGCTTTTTCCTCATCGAAACTCATTTTTAATTTGTTTTTCTCTTCATTATGTTTACAGTCAAGCTTTTCTTGCTGTTCTCTGAGCAGTGCTGCCTCTCCTTGCAGCTCTGCAATTTGATTTTTAAGGCCAGTTATTTGCTTTTCCATGACATGCATCTCTTCCGTATACTTCTTCCTCATATCCTCTTGCTCCTTTTCACAGTGGATTTTTGTCTCACCTAGCTGCTTTTCATAATGGCTCACCTACAAAAAGGAAAACACATTGGATTGGTTCATTTCCTACAGAAGGTTCTACCGAGATGTTTTCTCAACATTTCTGTATTAGATATTTCCATATATTCTACAGAATATTTTCATTTACATGTTAGCATCTTATATTGATTTCCCCTGCAAAGAACGCTAAAGTGCTCAGCTTAGTTTCTTACTAGAATAAAGACGATTATTACGTAGAAGCCAGCGAAATTCATGCTTTTCCATTAAGCAAATTTGTGAAAAAAGAGAAGCCACTAACAACTGGTAAGTCCTAAGTCAGTTTTGCAAATTGCAAGTGGACTTGCTTTTTATTTCACTGATTACTTTTTCAAAACCTTCCCCAAATTAAAAGGCAGATGGGGGTGGTGTGGTGTGGTGTTGGTTTTTTGGGGGGTTTTTTAAATACACAAGTGATGTGAGACAAACCCTTAAGGAAAAGCAATGATTTTGGGGTAATATTTTATCCGTCCCCTTTCCCCACTCCCATCCCAGCTTTGTCACAACACGGTTTCGGCGTACCTGTGTTATGCCATACTTGAAATGAATAGATTAGAGTTCTATAATAATTATAATGGTATAACCACCTCTCATCTGGAGGTGGGCACTGGTCCGAGAGATGCGGCAGAAGCCTTATAGGACCCCCGGCTTCTGGTCCTGAACCAGCTCTTGCAGAACAAGCCTGGCCATCTCTACACCAGCGGGACCTCGCCTGCTGAGCGGGGCAGGTCTCACCCGCTGAGAAACACCGTGAGAAACACCCGGACGACAGCGGAGGTGTCGTGCCGTGCCCGAAGCTGTGCCAGCTCGCCCGAGCGCTGTAGACAGGCACTGGAGCGGAGCTACCCCAGCCTCATAAGCCCATCTCGACCCAACCTTTCTCCACGTAGGGCCAATGGAGATATTTCCGCACACGTGCCAAGATTAATCTGCAGATGGACACCTGGAAAACAGGGAGCTGACTGCCCATTTTGGGTAGCGCAGGTATCGTAACAGCAGAGTTTTCCATACTCCCACAGCACAGATCGCGTTTCAACGCCACCGGACCGCGCAAGCGTAGTGTTTAGCGATGCAGACCCCTGCCAGCAGCCTTTCTAACCCACAATTATCCCATGCCAGCGGGAATGAAGTGGCTAATTCAGATGCTAGGCTTTCGAGGCGGGAAATGCAACACTGCCTCGGAAAGGCTCGCTGCTCTCTCGTTAGCTGGTGGGCGGCGTGAGGATCTCCTGCAGCGTTCGTTCAGCCCTCTCCAGCACCTCTCCATCACACAGCCACATGCAGAAGGAGCAGGGAAGGCAGAGGCTTAGATTCACAGAAAGGTTATAATTTGACCAGGAATAAAAAGTCCTTCTCCAAGACCATCCCACTTGTATGAAGAGGCTGGAAAACTTGTGAAGGTTTGTTTTAAGTTAAAATAGCTTACTGTGTCTTCAAGCTCCTGTTTGAGGTGATGCAGATCCCTGTGATGTTGCTCCTTCATTTGTTCAATAGCCATTTCTGCCTCTATGCTCATATTTAATGGGTTGCAGTCTTCTGAACCAAGTCCTTTAAAAATAATTATATACATATTCTTGAAGCCCAAAGAGACACATTCTCAACAGAATTATTTCATCAATTTGAATTTGTTTAGGCAGCTACTCGCACCTCTCAAATTCCCATCACACATGCAGACAAGAAACTGCAAACACAAATTTCAGCTTTGAATATAGTACAGCAGTCGTATTCCACTTAATGTTAAATAGCAAAACGGAGGTGGTGTTTCAGTCTCACCGTGACAGGTTGGAAATGTTTTTTTATGTCATTGCCTCTAGGATGTTATCATAAATACCTACAGCACAGAAGGTGGTCATACAGGAGACGTGCTTTACCTTGGTCAGGCTCAATACCGCTATTGCCATGACTTTTCATATCAATGTCGAACTCTTCCGACAGTGAATTTTTCAGCGAGGGCCTGAGCACTTTGCCTTGGGCACGGTACTCCTCCAGCTCCGAGTGCAGCTCATCTATCTGGTCTTGCAGCTCCTGAGAGGGGCGAAAAAGAAGCCTGAGAGAAAGCAACCAAGGCAGCTGAGCATCGGTACCTCACCACACCTCCACAATGAGACATTTAGGAGGGAATTACAGTCGGTAAAGATTTATCAAAAATCCTGCCATCGTGACATAGTCATCCTCCAATCAGCAAAACAACGCCCTCCTCCAGGTTCCAAACTGTGCAAGTAACAGATGTATTTCTAACTAAAAGAGCAGAAGCTTCTTCAGACGGAGAGCCCGTACATATTCTGCCTCTAAAGTATATCATGCTTCCACTTTATTCCTTCTTCCTATAATCTTTTTTTAAACAGCAGCTTAGGAACATTTTCAAACAGTCGAGAAATACCTCCTCAACCACCATCTACTTGAAAAATCAAATCAGAAGCAAAAGATCAAATTAGGGAAGAGATACCCTCATTACTGCATTTACCATCTGGTCCTTCTGCCCACTTGCCAGCGGAATATCCTGAGTGTTTGTGCCAAGTGCCGTGCGCTCAGCTCAATGAACAGTGTTTATTGAGGAAAATGAATCCCTGGATGCGTAAACACACAATTCTGCAGATTTCAATGGTTCAGAAAGTGAACCATGAATACCGATTCATATCTGACAGTACTTCCCTCCCCA